CATTGCACCCCGAATTTGTTAAGTGAATTTTGCCCCATTTTAGGACCTTCCTTGCCGCACTTGTTAAGTAAATCAGTGCAATTGTAAATCTGGATTCCCTATTAACTTTGCTTACTAAACAAATGGGGCTACATGGGGCTCCCCTTGAGGAGCACCCGGAGGCTCCAACTGGTGCAGAATGCGGCCGCGCGGGGGATTATGGGAGCGAGGGGGCGCTCCCACGTGACACCTCTCCTGCGTGAGCTGCATTGGCTTCCAATGATCTTCCGGGTGCGCTTCAAGGTGTTGGTGACCACCTTTAAAGCGCTCCATGGCATAGGACCTGGGTATTTGCGGGACCGCCTTCTGCCGCCGATAGCCTCCCACCGACCAGTACGCTCCCACAGAGAGGGACTCCTCAGGGTGCCGTCGGCCAGGCAATGTCGGCTGGAGACCCCCAGGGGGAGGGCCTTCTCTGTGGCAGCACCTGCCCTCTGGAACGATTTGCCCCCGGAGATACGAAGGATATCGGATCTCCAGGCCTTTCGCCATGCCCTGAAAACTTTTCTTTTCCATCAAGCAGGGCTGGCGTGAAATCCCCCCCCCCTTTTTTTTAGCTTTTTAAATTGTCAATGGGTTTTAGTTTGAATGTTTTAAATTCTGGGCCAAAGTCATGTAATTCTTTTAGAAATTTTAAATTTTGTATTGGTATGTGTTTTAGTTCTGGCTGTGCACCGCCCTGAGTCCACTAGGAGAAGGGCGGTATACAAATTGAATAAAATAAATAAATAAATAAATAAATAAATAAATAAATAAATAAATAAATAAATAAATAAATAAATGGCCTTAATTCGAGGACTACCTATATCTCATAACTCTACCACTTCGAGGGGGGCGTGGGCACGGTACATATTTGGGCCCCCCATTGTCCCAAATGATCAGTGGCAGGGCAAAAACATCAGTTGAACTTTGTTCCGATTTGTTTTCAGATGGTTAACAAATTAGATGCAATTCATTAAGCTTGTTTCCTAAGGGTTTAATAACTTTCCTCTTCTTTCACGTTGAAAGTTAAGAGTTTGGCAGCCGGTTTTGGTTGCTTTCCAGGCATTATATGAATGGCTTGAGTGAAGGGGCACGAATGGAGCCTGATTAAGGTTGCCTTCATAATATGAGGAAATGGGCAAACTTGTTTACAATTTTGGCCAATGAGTCACTCTAATTATTTTTGCTGAATGAAACCTAGTGAACTTTCAGAGTATAGTCTTAGTCCAATGTACTGTGAAAGAAACTTTTGATCTTGTTTAGTGTTATGAAGTCTACCTCCTCATTAAATTTAGATTACATAACAGTGCAAAAAAAAAAAGAGAGAGAGAGACAATTTCTTGGACAGTCTCATTCAACAGAGCCTTGATAGTACAGTGGTATACGCATCCTGTTATTAACACAGCTGCCTGCAATTTCTGCTGGTTCGAATCTCTCCAAGACTCAAGGTTGACTCAGCCTTCCATCCTTTCTAAGGTAGGTGAAATGAGGACCCAGTTTGTGGGGGCAATAAGCTGACTTTGTATAAAATATACAAAAGTATGAAGGCTATTGCTTAACGCATTGTAAGCTGCCCTGAGTCTCTGGAGAAGCGCGGCATATAAATAAATAATAATTAAAAAAAAAACAAAAAAAACAAAGATGATTAGAGAGCTCAAGGCTGAAACATATGAAGGACGGTTGTGGGAATTGGGTACGTCCATTTTAATGAAAAGAAGGCCTAGGCGTGACATGATAGCATGTCTACTATGTCAACTCTGGAATCAACTCCCCTTGGAGCTCCGACTAGCGCCCGACCTTTCGCCAGGAATTAAAAACTTGGCTTTTCAAATCCCTTGACCTGGTCTGATGATGGGGTTTTAAGGGTTTTAATGGGTTAATATTAAATTTTTTAGATTTTAGTCTTTATTTTTATTGTGGCTTGTGTTTTATTGTTGTGAGCCGCCCTGAGTCCACTGTGAGATAGGGCGGCATATAAGCCGAATAAAATAAATAAATAAAATAAATAGCAATGTTCTGATATCTAAGGGGCTGCCACAAAGAAGAGGGGGTCAGCCTATTTTCCAAAGCACCCAAAGGCAGGACAAGAAACAATAGATGGAAACTAAGCAAGGAGAGAAGGAACCTAGAACTAAGGAGAAATTTCCTGACAGTTAGAACAATTAATCAGTGGAACAACTTGCCTCCAGAAGTTGTGAATGCTCCATCACTGGAGGCTTTTAACGTGTCGGCATGTTCCAAGTGAAGCCAACTGTGACCCCATGTAATTTACAACCCAGTCTTGACCAAGTTTCCCGCTCCCTCCTCCCCGGGTGTGTCATCAGTTACATTCGCCAACGGAGCAATTTCGCAGGTTGTAGAGATCACTCCGCTCCGGCCGCTGTGGGTAACCCTGGGAGACAGCCTTGAGAGAGATACATCTGAAATGTGCTTTTGTTTTTGGCTGCCATGCTGCTTCCCCCTTGCCTATGGCAATTCGAGAGCAGGCCAGGGATACTTTGTGAGTTGACATAAAGATTGGACAACCATTTGCCTGAAATGGTATAGGGCCGTGATGGCGAACCTATGGCACGCGTGCCAGAGGTGGCACACGGAGCCCTCTCTGTTGGTACCTGTGCCATTGGCAGCTGGTCTTCGGGTTTCCAGCGCTCCGGCGCGTGCATGCATTCACACATTCTGGTTTGGGCACTTGGTGCTGAAAAGGTTAGCTGTCACTGATATAGGGGTTCCTGCCTGAGTGGGGATTTGGACTAGAATAAGGGTCTCCAACCTTGGCAACTTTAAGCCTGGCGGACTTCAACTCTCAGAATTCCCCAGCCAGCAAAGCGGGCCAGCAAAGCTGGCTGGGGAATTCTGGGAGTTGAAGTCCTGGACTAGAAGACCTCCAAGATCCCTTCCAACTTCGTTATTCTGTTAGTCTTCAAGAGGTTTAGAAATGGACTGGTTTACTGTTTTAATATCTTTCCTGGTTTTGATGGTTGATAATATCTTGAGGTTGTCTTTCTGTCCTTTCTTGATGAAGAGGACTGCATTTGGCCTTCTCCAATTTCCCTAGTTTTCTTCTTCATTGGTTACTCTTTGAGATTTAATTTATTTGAGATTTAATTTAAACTTTAATTTTTTTGAAATCCTTTTCAAGAATTCCCAACCAGCTTCAATCCATTTTACCTTTTAACGGTTTCTTTATATCACATCTTCCTTACTTTTTCTTAGTTCATTAGAACTATGCTTTCTAAAAATCCAGGGCTGTTTCCAAGCAGGTTTTTTTTTAAAAAAAATAAAGATTCTAATAATGTATAGCCATTTCCATCCGGTTTTCATCTCTTCAATATCTCCAACCAATCCTGTTAGTAAGGCCCAAATCCGAAGTAGCTGTTCCCCCTGATGCGCAATTCAAATCTTTGGAAAGAGGAAAATTATCACCAAGACAAGTAGAAAAATCGATGTGACATCTTGGGTCCCGCAGAATTAATCTTCTCACAGAAGTCTAGAGCTTGTTGAAATCCCCCATTCATGGTTTTCGGCTTTAATAAATCTTCCCTCCGTCTCTTCTGATTGGTTGGATGGTCTCTGACAGACTCCATGGAAAATAATCGTCCTTTTAATTTGCTCTTTTATCTTAACCCTGTTTGTTTTCAACACTCCTGGTACCATCAATCGGATGGACCTCTCTTCAGTTCTTCTCTGGTACCCATCTCTATACCATCACGTCCTTCTGTTGTTCTCTGCCTGTCTGTCTGTTTCATATTGTCATTAATTATGGGGCCAAATATATATTTATCTTTTTAATTGTATTTTAATGTTTGTAGTTTATGTTTTTACTTTGGCTGTACACCGCCCTGAGTCCTCAGGGAGAAGGGCGGTATATAAATTCAATATAAAATAAATAAATAAAATAAAATATGTATCTATCTCAGGGGTGAAATGCTCCCGGTTCGGACCAGATCGCCCGATCTGGTAGCGATGGCGGTGGATGGTTCGGAGAACCGGTAGCAAAAATCCCTGCCCCCCCACATGCCCAGCTGAGCCGCGCGATCATCAGAGGCTGTTTTTTTTTACTTTTAAAAGCATTTTTATATTTTATATAAATTAAATATAAGTATATATTTTATACTTATGTATTTTATGTCTTTTATTGGGTTTGTTTTTACTTGTTGTGGGCCGCCCTGAGTCCTATGGAGATAGGGTGGCATACAAATTATATTAAATAAATAAATAAATAAATTTTTCTACAACCTCTTCGGCCGAAAAAATGCTTTTAAAAGTTTTTTTTTAAAAAAAGCCTCCGATGATCGCATGGCTCAGCTGGGATCCTCAGAGGCTTCTAAAAGCATTTTTTTCTGCAACCTCTTCAGCCGAAGGGCTGTAGAAAAAGAAATGCGTTTAAAAGCCTCTGGCGATGCCAGCTGACTTGCCTGATCGTCAGAGGCTTTCTAAAAGCATTTTTTTCTGCAACCTCTTCAGCCGAAGAGGCTGTAGGAAAAGAAATGCCTTTAAAAGCCTCTGGCGATCCCAGCTGAGTTGCCAGATCATCAGAGGCTTCTAAAAGCATATTTTTCTGCAACCTCTTAAGGTTGTAGAAAAAATGCTTTTAAAAGTAAAAAAAAAAAAAAAAGTTGGCGATGCCCACCCAGTCACATTACCGCCCCCCCCACCAAGCCACGCCTATAGAACCGGTAGTAACAAATTTTAGATTTCACCCCTGATCTATCTGGTCCAACTCCCTAACCTCGGGGGGCTGGGATAGGCATGGCCAGGGTGAACGTGGCCAGCTGAACATCACTTGTGTTGGGGGCACCTGTGGTGACCTCAGTGAAAACAGGCTCCCAAACTCCATTTTCGGCTGCGACGGCCTCCTGCAACCCTCTGCCAGCGATTTGGTCTTCTCCTGTATCCCAGCTTCTCTCTGCTGCAGCCCCATGGATGTCCCTGTCTCTCCATCGCTCACCCGTCCCCTTTTTTCCCCCTTTCTCTTGCAGTCTGTACCGTGCGGTGCCAGAAGTTCCTCATCTCCAAAGTGGGCGAAGACTGGATCTTCCTCATCCTCTTGGGTCTGCTGATGGCCTTGGTGAGCTGGGCCATGGACTTTGCCATAGCAACTTGCCTGCAAGGTAGGAAGATGGCAGATCACAGGTGCAAAGGCAGGCAGCGCTCCTGGGCTGCGAATCTGAAGCTCATGGTTTCCAAGAGGAGGCGTTTTGTTTCGATTTTTATTATTATTATTTTATTTTATTTTATTATTCTATTCTATTTCATTTTGTTTTGTTTTGTTTCATTTTGTGCCATCTTATTTTATTTCGTTTTATTATTTTATTTCGTTTTATTATATTATTGTATTTTTTTATTATTTTATTTTATTATTCTATTCAGCAGAGGGATGAAAGAGCCACATACGGCTCCAGAGCCACGGGTTGTTGACCCCTGGCCTGGGGAAACAGCCTGGACTTCAGCGCCTAGTAAGATTGAGGCCATCCAAATTTCCGGAGGGAAGATGCTGAGAAAATGGTCTCTTCGAGGCAGACGCATCACTTTAGCTTAGCCTCCTGCGTGGTGGCAACTCAACCTGGAAGATTATCTCTTGTGCATTGACAAATAAACCCTTCCCCCCCCTCTCTCTCTTACAGCCCAAAAGTGGATGTACGGCGGGTTGGATACCAACGTTTTCTTGCAATACATGGCTTGGATTACCTATCCCATCGTGCTCATCACCTTCTCAGCTGGATTCACTCAGATCTTAGCCCCGCAGGCGGTGGGTGAGTGTCGGTCCGGAGAGGTGGGAAGGGAAGAAGCTGCTTTGGAGGAAGCCCAGCTGTTTGGAAGGCACAGCTGGGAATCCACCTGTGCCAACCATTTTTTTTCTGATCCTGGAGACAAGGAAGGTTCCATTCCATCAGAGACCCAAACCCAGGGGATTCTCCTAAAATGTGGCCCTTTCTGCCCATCAGGTCACCTTTCTCTGCATTGGAAAGCTCCCCTTTTCCCCCTCAGAGAGGAACCAAACCAAGGTCTTCACTGTCCTGAATCTTAAGAAGCAAATTCATAGGCCACGCTCAAAGCATGCTGGGGAATTCTGGGAGTTGAAGTCACGTATCTTAAAGTGGTAAAAGTTGAAAAGCATTGTGCTAGGTCTTTCCCTGACCTGGTTAAACATTCTTTCGTTCAGTGGATTTCTGCATCTCTCTGGATTTTCCTGATTCTTCTTTTTTGCCTCATCTCCTTCCCGCCTTCCTTCCTTCCTTCCTCCCTCCCTTCTTTCTTCCCTCCCTCTCCATTCCTTCCCTCCTTCCCTCTCTCCCTCTCCCCTGCCTTCTTTCTTTCTTTCTTTCTTTCTTTCTTTCTTTCTTTCTTTCTTTCTTTCTTTCTTTCTTTCTTTCTCTCTCTCTCTCTCTCTCTTTCTCTCTTTCTTTCTTTTTTCCCTTTCTTTCTTTCCTTCTTTCCTTCCTTCTTTCCTTTCTTCCTCCCTCCCTCCCTTCTTTCTTCCCTCTCTCCCTCTCCCATTCTTTCTTTCTTTCTTTCTTTCTTTTTCTTTTCTTCTTTTCTTCTTTCTTCCTTTCCTCCCCCCGTCCCCCACCACACTCCCTCTCCCTTCCTTCCTTTCTTCCTTCCTTCCCTCCTTCCTTCCCTCCTCCCTCCCTTCTTCCCTCCCTCTCTCTCCCTTCCCTCCTTCCCTCTCTCCCTTTTCCCTGCTTTCTTTCTTTCTTTCTTTCTTTCTTTCTTTCTTTCTTTCTTTCTTTTTCTTTCTTTTCTTTCTTTCTTTCTTTCTTTCTTTCTTTCTTTCTTTCTTTCTTTCTCCCTCCTCCCTCCCTCCCTCCCTCCCTCCCTCCCTCCCTCCCTTCCTTCCTTCCTTCCTTCCTTCCTCTCTCTACAGGCTCTGGCATCCCAGAAATGAAAACCATCCTGCGTGGGGTGGTGCTGAAGGAATACCTTACCCTCAAGACCTTTGTGGCCAAAGTCATTGGACTGACCTGTGCATTAGGCAGCGGGATGCCTTTGGGGAAAGAGGTAAGGGGTGTGTGTGTCTGTGGGGTCTGTGGGCTACCAAGATGGAGAAAGATCTGGAAACCAGGTTCTGCCTGGAATGGTGAAAAGACACAGTTGTCTTTAGTTTGCAGGAAGGTAGTTTGAGAGAAAATATGATACAGGTAGTCCTCAACTTACGACCACTTGGTTAGCAACTGTTTTAAGTTACAATGGACATCCCCCCCACCCAAAAAAAGCTATTCACAACCTGGTTCCCAAGTTCTGACATCCCAGTGGAACAGAAGTTGCCTCCAGAAATCGTGGGCACTCTATCACTGGATGTTTTTAGACCCGTGATGGCGAACCTATGGCATGCGTGCCACAGGTGGCACGCAGAGCCCTATCGGTGGGCACACAAGCTCAGCTCCGGCGCACATGCACACGCTGGCCAGCTGATTTTTGTGCCTTCTGGGCCCCCTGGAAGTCGGCAAACAGGCCGTTTCCAGCCTCCAGAGGGCCTCCCGGTGGGTGGGGAAGACCGTTTTCGCCCTCCCCAGGCTCCTAGAAACGCTCTGGAGCCTGGGGAGGGTGAAAAATGGGCCTACCGGGCCCACCGTGCCATCGCATGCCAAAAGCGGGGGAAACGTGGGGTGGGTTCGCGCACACATGTGCAGGCTGGGGCGCATAGAATTATGGGTGTGGGCACGCACGGGCGCGACTCCCCCGGGCTCCCCCCACTTTTGGCCCACGATGGCAAAAAGGTTAGCCATCACTGGTCTAGACAGTCACTTCTCTGAAATGGTATAAGGTCTCCTGCTTGAGCAGGCGGGCTGGACTAGAAGACCTCCAAGGTCCCTTCCAGCTCATTCATTCTATACATTCGTTTGCTACCTGCAATGAATCCTGTAGAAGGTTGATCATGCATGATGATATCTGTTCTGACCTAGGCTTCCTGATACAGTAAAAGCACACAATGAATCCCAAAAACCCTCTTTTTTAAAAAAAAATTTGATTTATATGCTGCCCTTCTCCGGAGACTCAGGACGGCTTACAATGCTTTAAGCAATAGCCTTCATCCTTTTGTATATTTATACAAAGTCAGCTTATTGCCCCCACAAACTGGGTCCTCAATTTACCTACCTTAGAAAGGATGGAAGGCTGAGTCGACCTTGAGCCTGGGGAGATTCGAACTTGCAGTAACTGCAGGCAGCTGAATGTTAATAACAGGCTATTAGCCAGCTGCGCCACCAGGCCCCTTTTTATTTCAATGGCTGTGAATTCTGCTCATTCCGAGCCTGTTCATTCTCAATCGGTTCATTCACAGATGAGTCCCAAATAGTTTGTAAAGAGTCCAACAGAAGTCTGCCACAGTTCTTCTGATAAGGCTGATAAACACCCACCTTTATCTCCCTTGACACGCTGCCAAAGACCTAACTTTGCAAGGCCACACAGAACACAGAGTCAACACGGAGCTGCTGTCTTGAAACCGGCCAGCACGAACAACAGTTGCTTCCTGCAAAGGCTCACGTGCCTTTGCTCCTCCTTTATGTCTTATGGGAGGGGCCAATCATCTCCAAGCCCTACTCCCGAGTCGTCCCTTTTGTTTTAACTGTTCTTGCCTTCTGGCACCTCTGCGCATGCGCGCACTGGGAACAGGCTTCCCCTGTTCCTCTGCCTCTCTGACGTCAGACTCTGGAGGCTCCGGAGTCAGCACATAACTCCCAGATGGCCCTGGCCCACTCTCTGCCTCCGACGCAGAGCCCTCGTCCGAACCTTCCCCAGACTCCAGGACTGGCCCAGGTTCCTCCCCAGCCTCCTCACTGTCCAACTCTGCAGGCTGCCGGCGGACCACAATATCTTCCAACTCTATGATTTTGTGAATCTTCTTTCCAAGGCTGTTTAATCCAGCTGCCTTATCAGCTCCCATAACTGGACACACTGCGCATGGAATCATTGATTGAGATGGGCGGCGGCAGAAACTGAATGGATCAGAGGTGGGCAATTGTGGCCCTTTTACAACCTGTGGACTTCAACTCCCAGAATTCCTGAGCCAGCCAAGCTGGCTCAGGAATTCTGGGAGTTGAAGTCCACAGGTTGTAAAAGGGCCACAGTTGCCCACCCCTGGAATAGATAAATAAATAAACATAAAAACTTTGAGAGTGTTTGGGCCCTAGCAACGTTCTGCCGATCTTGCTAACTTTTCCTTCCTCCCTTTCCTGTATTCAGGGACCCTTTGTTCACATAGCCAGCATGTGTGCGGCCCTCCTCAGCAAGTTTCTTTCAGTCTTTGGAGGCATTTATGAGGTGAGTATGTAACTCTGAGGAAGCGACGTAGAATATGCGCTCTGAGAATGGAAAAACAAGATGGCTGAAAAACATCAGATTGCTGGTTAATCAGGGGTCCTTGGTGCTCTCTCAGTTTTGTTGTTTTCTTGCGGACGTCTCATTACCAAGCTAGGTAACCTCATCAGTGCACTGATGAGGTTACCTAATTTGGGGAATGAAAAATCTGAAAGAAAACAACCAGAGAGCACCAAGGACTCCTCATTTCAGCCCTGAGCTACAAATATTCTCCTTTATTTTCTATGGAAATTCTCAGTCATCCAGGTCATGGTTGTCCCAAAAGTGCTTTTTTTTCCCCTCAAAAGACAACTGGACTTTCCTTGAAGACATTTCGCTTCTCATCCAAGAAGCTTCATCAGTTCCGACAGTCAGAACTGAAGAAGCTTCCTGGATGAGAAGCGAAGCGCCTTCAAAGAAAAACAACTCCACATTCTCCTTTATTGTTGGTTAGTCACAACAGGCAGGAGTCCAATTCTGAGTTGTGTTCCTCTACCCTCAGTCCTAAGATTTATAATTTGGAGATAATAATAATCCCCAAATTGTAGAAATCAAACCAAATTCAGGCCTGCTTTATGGTCATGGCCAAAAAAAAGCCCTACAGGCACTTTTGAACTCTTAGGAAAAGTACTGTTGGGGACTTGTTCCCTTATTCCTGTTACCATATTATGATTAGATTCATGACTTCATTCTCGAACTCTCTTGCCCGCCAGCTAGCATTACATCGTGCTCCAAGGCCAGGCTGGCTGAAAACAATGGGGATTGTAGTCTAAGCTATTTAGAAGGTCTGTTTTCCGAAGCTAGGGATAAAAATATATGTTGAAAGCTGAGAAAGGCCAACCGAGCTGGGAGTTAAACTGAAGTATTCCTAATGGGGAGATGGTTTATTTGTGATCTGCATATCAACTTAGCCCTCTGTGACATTAGCGGAAGAGGGGAGCGCCACAAAAAACATTATTTCCGTGGCATTTTACCTTTTACCTTTTTAAAAAAATTTTTACAAACATATCAATGGGTGAACAGCGTGGCATCTGAGTGTCATACATTCTAATACGAATAAAACTAGTAAAGTTAATCATAGTTATTACATTCAATCAACATATATTTCTATTAATAATACACATTTATATTAAGTTGCAGTCTATCATTATCCAATTATTCCATGTTTTCTCTTGCTATTGCTTTTATTTTATTATATAGTGTATATATTATAAAGTGTGTACACTAATATTCCCCCTTCTCTTATTTCTATCTCTTATTCTACCTTTCGATCATGTCACCCTTATACTAAAATTTTAAATTTTAAACCAAATTTTAAATTTAAATTTGGTTTTAAATTATTGGGGATTTAAATTTGTTCAGCCAAATTATTTAATTCGTTTTATTTTATTTTAAATTTTGTATTTATATGTTTTATTCTATGGCTGTTCACCGCCCTGAGTCCTTCGGGAGTAGGGCGGTATATAAATTCAATAAAATAAAATAAATAAATAAAATAAATAAAAAACATTTTCTTTCTAGCCTACCTAACTTCTAGTCATGTCACCTACCCAGTAAAAGGAAAGAAAGCGAGAGAAAAAGAAAAGCAAATCAGAACAACAAAAAAGAGATATCATCTATCCATCGTCTCTTGCCCGCTTCAATACTTTAATTGCTATGCTTTTTTTGACTTGTCTCCCATATTCCTCTCTTGAATCTTTATCTCTGTCTGCATTTACTTCTCAGCTGTTCAATCTAGATATATTAAAAGATGTTTTCTTTCTGTCCTGCCTAACTTCTAGTTGTGTCACCTACCTAAGAAAGGAAGAAACTGAGAGAAAAAAGGGAAAGCAAGTCATTTTACTTATTGCTTTGTTTATCAAAATTAAAATCTGCCCACTTCCCTTACAGATGCTTTCTTTTGCACTGCAGTCACCTTTATAGTTAAAATCTTAATAAATCCTCTTTTCTTGGCACACGAGAGTCTCCAGCAAAATGGCTTGCTAAGCCTTTGGAAAACAGAATGGGGACTGGGTCAGGATTAGCGTCCATCGGTTGAATTGTACATTAAGTTTAACAGAGTCATGGTGGCGCAGCGGTTAGAATGCGGTATTGCAGGTTTAACTCTGCCCACATTTTGGAGTTCGATCCTGACCGGCTCAAGGTTGAATGGGCCTTCCATCTTTCTGAGGTCGGTAAAATGAGGACTCAGATTGTTGGGGTGCAACATGCTGAGATTGTAAACCGGTGTAAGGAATTATGAAGCGGTATATAAGTCTAAGTGCTATTGCTATTGCTAGCTGATTGTTTCCCTTAGTGCCATCCTCCGCTGTTACTCATTTATTTTATGTATTTATATTCAGCCTTATCGTTTTTATAAATAATGGAAAGTGCTGAACGTATCTAAAACTCCTTCTGCCTTCTGTTTTTCTCCATAACAACCCTATGAGGTGAGTTGGGCCCAGAGAGAGAGTGACTGGCCCACATTCATATAACCAGCTTTCGTACCTAAGGCGGGACTAGAACTCACACACTCCTGGTTTCCAGCCTAGTGCTAAACCAGCACACTATTTTTATGTTAATCCAGTCAATCTAATCTGGGTCATTAAACCATAAAAAACATAAAATAGGCAGTCATCTGTCTTTCGTGCCTAGGGTGGTACTAGAACTCTCAGTCTCCTGATGATTGGCCCAAAGTCACCCAGCTGTTTTAGAATAGAATGGAATGGAATAAAGAATAGAATAGAGTAGAGTAGAGTAGAGTAGAGTAGAGTAGAGTAGAGTAGAATAGAGTAGAATAGAATAGAATAGAATAGAATAGAATAGAATAGAATAGAATAGAATAGAATAGAATAGAATAGAATAGAATTCTTTATTGGCCAAGTGTGATTGGGCACACAAGGAATTTGTTTTTGGTACATATGCTCTCAGTGTACATTAAAAAAATACATTCATTTCATGCCTAAGGAGGGACTAGAATTCTCAGTCTCCTGGTGATTGGCCCAAAGTCACCCTTGCAGAAAACAATGCTTTGAAAAGCCTCTGCCGATCAGGCAACTCAGCTGAGATCGTCAGAGGCTTTTCAAAGCATTATTTTTACCACCTCTTTGGCTGAAGAGGTTGTAGAAAAAATGCTTTGAAAAGCCTCTGACGATCCCAGCTCAGCCGCGTGATCATCAGAGGCTTTTTTTTTAATTTTTAAAAGCACTTTTTCGTCAGAAGAGGTTGTAGAAAAAATGCTTTTAAAAGAAAAAAAAAGCCTCTGATGATCGTGCAGCTCAGCTGGGCATGATGGGGGGGGGCTCAGGGATTTTTTGCTACCGGTTCTCCGAACCATCCGCCGCCATCGCTACTGGATCAGGCGATCCGGTCCGAACCGGGAGCATTTCACCCCTGGGGGGGTGGGGGGGAGAGAAGAAAAGAGAGAGAGGAAGATATGGTGAAAAACAATGTATTTGTGATAAAGAATTTGATAAAAGGGATGAATATGGAAAAAGCGACGTATGTGACTCGGTCAACACTCCATTCACAAAATATGTATAATGAAAGAAAATTTGTAATAAAAGTTGTTTAAAAAAAGAAGAAGAAGAAAGTTCAGTTGCCTCTTGAAAAAAATGCACCTTTGGGACAACCATGACTTGGATGACTGAGAATCTCCATGGACATTCCTGCCAACTGCCATTCCTCCTCTTTTCTCTCTCTCTCTCTCTTGCAGAATGAATCCCGTAATATTGAGATGTTGGCGGCGGCTTGTGCGGTGGGCGTTGGGTGCTGCTTCGCTGCTCCCATTGGCGGTAAGGCTTCCTTCCGGAACTTTCCACGTGGCTCGTCCTCGTCTCTGCCCCAAAAGCTGTCCTTTCCTGCCTGCTCTGTCCCAAAAGGGGCTTCTTTTTGAATTTGGCCAACGAATGTGTTAAGGCTGAATCCGCCGCATGGATAGGGACGTTAATTTCTGATGCTTTCCCCAAATGGGTTAAGAAACTGGCAGAAAGTTGAGCCGCTGTCAACCATACAACATAGAATATCAGATTGGAAGGGACCTTAGAGGTCTTCTAGTCCAATCCCTTGCTCGAGCAGGAGACCCTATACAGGTAGTCCTCGGCTTAGGACCAAAATATAGAATAGATTTTTTTATTGGCCAAGTGTGATTGGACACACAAGGAATTTGTCTTGGTGCATACGCTCTCAGTGTACATAAAAGAAAAAATACGTTCATCAAGAATCATAAGGTACAACACTTAATGATAGTCATAGGAAACAAATAAGCAATTGAATCATACTAGGAAACAATCAATATTAATCGTAACAATACAGCAACAAGTTACAGTCATACAGTCATGAGTGGGAGGAGATGGGTGATAGGAACGATGAGAAGATTAATAGTAGTGCAGACTTAGTAAATAGTTTGACGCTGTTGAGGAAATTATTTGTTTAGCAGAGTGATGGCGTTCGGGAAATAGAATAGAATAGAATTTTTATTGGCCAAGTGTGACTGGGCACACAAGGAATTTGTTTTTGGTGCATACGCTCTCAGTGTACATAAAAGAAAAAATACATTCATCAAGAATCATAAGGTACAACACTTAATGATAGTCATAGAAAACAAATAAGCAATTGAATCATACTAGGAAACAATCAATATTAATCGTAACAATACAGCAACAAGTTACAGTCATGCAGTCGTAAGTGGGAGGAGATGGGTGATAGGAATGATGAGAAGATTAATAGTAATAGTAATGCAGACTTAGTAAATAGTTTGACGCTGTTGAGGGAATTATTTGTTTGCTAAACAAATGAGTGATGGCGTTCGGGAAAAAACTGTCCTTGTGTCCAGTTGTTCTGGTGTGCAGTGCTCTATAGCGTCGTTCTGAGGGGTAGGAGTTGAAACAGTTTATGTCCAGGATGTGAGAGGTCTGTAAATATTTTCACAGCCCTCTTTTTGACCCGTGCGGTATACAGGTCCTCAATGGAAGGCAGGTTGGTAGTAATTGTTTTTTCTGCAGTTCTAATTATCCTCTGGAGTCTGTGTAAGTAAGTAAGACATTTGTTAAGTGAGTTTTGCCCCATTTTATAAAGTTGATTGCCACAGTTGCTAAGTGAATCACTACAAGCTGATAAGTGAGTAACCCGGTTGTTAAGTGAATCTGGCTTCCCCGTTGACTTTGCTTGTCAGCAGGTCGCAAAAGGCGATCACATGACCTTGGGTCACAGCAGCCGTCATAAATAAGAACCAGTTGCCAAGCCTCCGCATTTTGATCAGGTGATTATGGGGAATGCTGCAAGTCGTAACTGTGAAAAA